GCTCTGGGGACGAGGGGCCTGGCAGCCCGCCGTCATTCCCACGTTCTGCGTGCTGTCACATCTAGCGTAACGCCGTCTGGCTGCGCCTGCCAGGCTGTCATGCTGGACTTCCTCGTGCCAGGAATTTGAGTCATGGGACAGATCCTGAAGTGAATTCATGTGTAGATATTCTAACGGCTGCCCCTTTTATTTCAAAATCAATCTGCCTTGACCAGGTTTGCACTGGCTCCTGTGAAATCCATTTGAATCATCTTTATTCCATATAGGTTCACACTGAAAGTACAAGACGGAAAGTACAAGACGCGGGAATATGGTTCTGGTGTTATTTTTCTGATATGAGTCTGTATGTAATAATAATAAGAAGCAGCTAATCAAGGCGGTTCTGAAAGACAGCCACATCTGTCTCCACAGCTGCTCAACGTTGTTCAACACCTGCGCAGTGAGTGATGCCATTTAGGACAGGAAGTGAAGACGCGCACCTGTCCCATAGAAACTAGAAGAGGAATTTCGAGACAGAGAACATACTAATGGGCTGCTGCTTGGCAAGGGCACGAGCTGGAAAACTCTTGCACTCTAGCCACAGGCTCTAGCATAACTGCAGATGGTTTGGACTTTGGAGATCTGTCTTCTCTGAAGGGTATCTGACAACCTTTTAATATCAGGGTGTCTGTATATTTGGCAGCACTTAAATGTGGGACAGTAACACTGAAACAGGAGGCACAAGAAGCAAAAGTGACTAAGGAGGCAGCTGACAATCATAGACCTGAAATGCCTCTTCCAGGAGCCCAGATGGATGATTCAGCCTGGTACTAATATAGCAAAGCAGAAGCATCACGATATAAATAGGAGAGCAGCTCAGCCTCATCTCTGCAACACATGATGCAGGAGCATGCCGTGTGCTGGCTGGTGCTGAGGCTGGACCGGAGGCTCCCGATCCCCTAGAAATGCCCCTACCTGTAGGCTTTTAGGCATCACCATAGCTTATAAGAAGGTAGCACTGGACCTGTGGTAAGGTGGGTGCTGTTTGACAAGGCCCAAGTGGTGAGACTGCGATGAACTGGTCTCGCCACGGGGTGCCACTGTCTCTCCAGGCACAGGATGGCTGGATGGACAGCTTTTCTGTCCCCTCTCTTTTCCAGTCTCCTTTCTGGAGGACCTTGTGTCCCTGTTCTCCCTGTTCTCTCTGGGTACTGGCTTTGAGCTGACTTGTGCTTCAGGTGGGATGCTCAGCCTCTTTGAGAAGAACTGAGTTTGGGCAGCTAAAGCCATCACTAAAACCAGGCGGTTGTCATGCGTGCGGAAGGTCTCCTTCTGCTGTGCTAGAGACTATGCAGTGGGGCATGTGAGGGCTGAGGTATGGAGAGGGCCTGTCTGCACTGAGGCTGTTGGTCAGGACGTGGATAAACTCTGCTGTTATTCCCAGGTGGCTGTCTAGTGTCCTGTGTGAGCTTGTTGGGGTGAACTCAGTTGAATATCAAACTCCTGACTGTACCAAAACACACCACCAGGATTTTGCAAACCACCAGTGTACTGCTGCAAGTCCCAACAGCAAGAGAGGACAGGAGGAACATTGAGGACTGAATTCCCAGTGCACAGAAGGGCAGAGACACATCAATACAGCCCATGTTGTATCCTGTGGAACAAATTTATGTCTGAAAATAGAAATCAGTAGCTAAGTAGAAACAACACAGCCACATCTGTCTCTCCAGTTGCTCAGCACCTGCACAGCAAATCAGTACAGGCCAGGAAGTAATATCCTGTCCAGTAGCCTGATCCAACACAAACGGGAAGAGTGTTTTAGAGAGAGAAGATATCCTAGAAGAGTGGAATTTGGTGACGATATTAGAACATGATACTATCTTAGAAACCATGACTGCACCTACTGCCTCTGAGGAGTGCAAGCCAGGTGAGATTGCCACGGGATAGCAGACTGGAGCAGGTAAAGCATCAAGTGCCAGCTTTCCTTGAAGTCCTCAAGGTTATACTAAGGCTGCTAAATGCCACCAGTCTGGCAACACTGTGAGTGACACAGCAAGGACAAACTGAGTGAGCCTTGCCTCCGATAAACACTGGATGTGGGAGAGGGTACAGAGCACAGTGGTTCTAAGCTGAAGTTGGAGGATGCACGCAGTCAAAGAGATGGGGCAATCTCTTCAGCTGGGAACAGCAGAGCCATATTTGCACACACCGTGTTTGGGCTGAGGGACAGGGCTTGTTAATACAGGGGAAACACGAGTATGGATTCCCCATCATCTCTGTATTATAAGGGAGCAGTGAGGAAGGCAGGATCCAAAGCGTCACGGTCCTTGTGGTGGCACTCAACAAGTCTTCTGTTTGAGAGAGGCTGTTTTGGGCCCTGATGTCCTAAACACTGGGCTCTAGCCTCAGATTGAATCAGATGGAAAGCGCAGGTGGATTGGAAGGCAAGATCATTCCTTCTGACACAGTTATGTGGGAGGTAGCATGTTGAACTAGTTAGAGCCTGAGGCTAGAAGTGAGAAGACATGGATTTTACTCCTGGCTCTGCTACTGAGACACCATATGCTTTTAGGCAGACGCTCCACCTCTCTTTAAACAGAAGTGTCCTTTCTGTAACTCAGAGATGTTGACACCTGCCTACCCTTTGAGCTTGCAACCATAAATAGAACGTGCCAAAATCATGCAACGTATGATTAACTAGAATGACGATGAGAGGAGAGACAAACTAAGGACCGGATTCTCCAGATGTCATTCCAATGGCATGACACCAGCATAAAAACCTGGTTCAACTCAGTAGAAAATGCAATGGAACGAGGCTGAGGCTGGCAGCACAGTAGCTCCTCTTTGTGAGTCTTACTGAAGTGAAGCTGGAAAGCTAAACCTGAGAAGAGGATCATACAGACTTAAGTTGGGAATGACATGTGTGGAGGGGAGGGTCCCAAAATACCTCACGCTGACTGTATCTCAGAGCAGGGCAGGCAAACTTGTTCAATATGGGCATCTTCTAGAAAGGTGTGCAGCTTGTATAGCAAATTTCAGCTCAGCAAAAGCCTTGCTTTTCTGTAGAAGCAATCCCTAGAGCCTCAGGTGAACTACAGGTAGAAAACCACGCCAGAAGTCTTTGAAATGACTCAGACAACTAGCATCTCCGTTGAAACTGTGTTCCCAGTCAAATAGCTCTTCCCGCCAAGAGTGGCCTGATGATATTTAGCCAGCTATTTCCTTTATTAATCTTGCCTCATTTGTCTCAATTATACCCCTGTTTACCATCCTAAACACCTCTTCTCTCTGCCTGATATTTGTGCCTCCAAATCCTCCTAATTAGGTGCCACATTTTCCTTCGGCTGCTATTTGTCCAAGCTGCGCCAAGTTAGTTCTGTCAGCGTTAAACTTTCCTTAAAAGTCCAGCTCTCCGGCTCGTTAATCATTGTCCCTGCAGTGGGTCGACTGCAGGATCCGGGCTCTGGAAGACAATTATTAACTCCCCCGCCTCATAATAAATAATTCCTCCACCAGAGCAGCCTAAAATCCGTATTCTCTTGGACGTGGGAGCGCACGCCGACACAGCTGCCTGGATCAGGCGCGCGCCTGCTGTGGTGTCCGCGTTCCCCTGAGAGGGGTGCAGGTGCACGGGCTCGCCCGGGAGCTCTACCGGTGAGGTTATAAAGCAGAGCCTACGCGTTACAGGCCAATATAGCCATTAACGGCCTGCAGCCAGGCCAAGATGGCGCCGGGGCCGAGGTCGGCGCCGCCGGAGGCCACGTCTACCCCGGGGTGGCTCCCCCCGCCCAAGGCCTCCGGGAAGCCTGGGGTCAGTTTCCTTGACTGGAGG